ATCCAAGCCCATTACTTTGATTCATGCGCCCTCCACCCTATCTGTGGAGTTCCAAACTACTTCTTGGGCTAATAATAATTGTTAGGCCCAATACCTTTAATGCTAGAGCATCTAGACAATTAGGTCTTAGTGTGTGACTCATTAGGTTCAACATAGCCACTGACATAAACGGGCTTGGGCCCAATAAGCCCACAACCCATTTAATGACAACACAGAGCACTAGCAATGCTTTGTTGCCCCAGAACTAGTTAGATTAATGACTTGATCATACTATTACACATATTTGGTTGCCGTATATATTTCCTTTCGTCTCGGTTACCTTCCCATAAAACCTAGGGTAAGGAAGCGTATCAACCCCTGCGGTTTAGGGTAAGCTTTATTCGAAATAGGGAATCTTCAATTTACAGACTCTAAAGGCAGATCATCTCATGATCTCTTTTACTATGCATAGATTCCCGAGTCCCTGTAAATGTTATCCCGATTTCTCCGGTTTACAGATAACCTAATCTCTCACAGAGATTTGACGAATTCCTTCAGCTTATCACCCTAGCCCTGTGTTCTTTCAGGACAAGCCCAACAGTATACCTATGAGTCTCCATGTTTCAGGCAGACCAGGTGCACAATCAAAGCATGCCTTAAGAAAGACATACCCAAATATAAAGAGACTACTCTAATGATACTCTCTGTGAGAGTTCCTCATAGAGTCTCTTTGTGGGTCTGTTCAGTGCGAGCTATACCCTTATAGGTCCACCCACGACTTTAGCTAAGACATCATCTCCATATATGTAGCTCATGAGGCCTTTACCTTGCATCCAAATACAAGTAGATAAGTCGTGATAGTCTTACCCGAGATCACTGATCCCCATTCTCAATGTCTCTAGACTAGGAACATAAAATTAGGAATAAACATGCAGTATCCTTGAATCCTCATGATCGTGATCTCATCACAGATATTCAAGAGATACCTATATTATTCCAAGGGGTTTATCCAGTTACTCATATAAATATTAATAGTAATATTGAGACAAAATATGAAACAGGATAAATAGTGCTTTTATTTGCGACAATATAAAAGGTCTACATATGACCTAATCTAATCAAAAGATTGTCTCTAGGACATCCATATACTAACACCCGTCCCTGGATCAACACAATTGTATAACAATTTTATAATTTGTATTTTTGTTAAAAAATCTATTGTAGAATTTTTATAATTTGGACATATGTTGGAAATATTATTTAATGAATGAGATATTTTATTTTATTTTTATTTTTTTAGTTTGCAATATGGTAGGTCTAAAAGGCCTCATAGACCTTGTAGCCTTTTTATTTTTAAATAACAGGGCAGACTTGGCCTTTAAAATAAGCTTTTGATAGGCTCATATGCCAGATAAGCTGCTTTTTTTTTGCGTAGGCCTGGGCCATGAAGGCCAAAGCCTGGCCTGGCCTACCCTAGCCTAATTACACCCTTAGATGCCAGTTTCTGAGTTTGATGTGTCCATTGAGAATTATAAAAGTAATTTTATAAAATCATCTCACATTTTCCAGTAATATTTAATAATCAACCAAATATAGAATCAGTAAATTCGAGCTAATTTTCCCAATAATACTTTTTGCTTACCAAATATAGAATAGTAATATTTCCCATTGAGTATTTTTCCACAATAACTTTTCTCGTAAGGGGGGCGGGGAGATAATAAAAAATAGTTGAAAGAATAAAAATACTCAACCCATTATGTAATACTCCCCAAAAATAAATTATTAAAATATATTTAAAATTTGGGTTTTATAAGAGTTACGTTGTAGAAAAAATGATTGTGTTATGTTACAGAGATTCGTTTTGTGTGCCGTAATTTTTTTTCCCTTCAAACAAAATATTATGTGTGTATGAAACTTTTTATGGCCATATTAAATGGTTGAATGCAAACCCTTAAAATTTATGATATTGTTGTTCGATTTTGAAGATCAAAGGTTTGTGTTAGATTTGAGAGTTAATGGTGTCCAAGCCGTAGGTGATGAGAAAGCTAAGGGGTGGTTTGGTTGAGGATAAATTTTTTGAATACTAGGGAAATGTAATTAATAAGGAAATGATTAGAAAGAGAGTTTGGTAAGAAAATGTAAAAAAAGTTGTTTGGTTAAAAAAAAATTTACCGAAAAAATTAGATAAGATTTATAAAGTTTATGTTTGGTTTAAGATAAAATATAAATGGAGAATAAGTTACAATTACGAAAATATCCTTATTTTTAAATTTTTTTGAATCACCTACCCTTTCTTTTATTTTTTTTAGTACAAAAACACAGATCTGGATCTACCCACTCAAAACACAAACTTTGATATTTTCGTAAAGGGCCACTTATATCCTTGTGATCTGTGTCTTTGGACACCGTGTGTGGAGGTTTCCGGTCAGCAACCATCACACCGGCCACCGTACAAAAAAAACAGCAACTCATTCATATGCTATTTTATTTGAATCTTGGAGATGCTTTTCAAAACAACTCAATCCTGTGTGACCTGTCAAGTTTGTCTTAATTTGTTTTTCCCTTTTTTTCCCTCAAATCTGCTTGTCGTTGAAAGAAAAGAAAGAAATCTTATACAAAATTCCTGTTTAGAATTTGTGAGTTTTTAACTAGGACCCAGATCTGCTTGTTCTTCGACTTGGTGCAGATTGCCCAATTGGAGATCTGGCATTGTTGAAAACTGGCGAGCCTGTGTACACTCCTGTCACCCAAGTTGAGGGTATGGTCGTCTACGAAGCACCGACACTTCAAAGACCCTGACGTGTCGTGTCCGACACTTCCCGACACTCTCAGACACTCCAACACGCATTATAGAAATTCAAAAAAGGTTTAGAGGTTGCGTTGCGTTGAGTTTTTAGTTCCAACTATTAGATTCGTTGGATTACGATTACCATTTTATTGAATTTAATATAAATATTTGGAATATCTTATGTTTCTTTGCAAAATTTATGAATATTATAAGTTTAGATTCATTTTTTTGCTAAATTATTGAATATTAGATATAATATACACTACATTAATTAAAAATATTATTTAATATCAAGACGTGTCCTAACGTGTCGAAATTTAACATTTTTTAGAATTAACGTGTCGGAGTGTCGTATCGTGTCGTGTCCCGTGTCAGTATCGGTGCTACATAGATGGTCGTCATGTGGTTAATCATCCATTTCTCCATTTAGGTAGACGTCATCCAATACCACATCTCAAATGGAAATCTGTTGGCTTGCATTTGGGCCAAATTGACATGCAAACTTAGATTGATGGGGGTCTGATTTCGATAGCAAAATTTTAGAAACTCTGCAATCAAACAAGGTGATTCAAGAATTCCACTTATCCGAATCCTATCTATCTGATGAGATAGCTCCAACCAAACGCCCCCTAAAAGAAAATAAGGATGTTAGGATTTCAGATTGCCTACCTATGTGGCGAGAAATTGAGAATTCCTACTTTTATATAGGTTTTCTTATTTAGGAATGGGCTGAATCCAATTCACCTAGCTAATCCTGAAGTCTATGTACGGGTCCATGTCAGTTTTATTGAACTCTAAAAAGTTTATAAGTATTTTAAAAAATAATGTGTAAAATAAAGATCATATAATTTTTAATATATCAATAGATCAATTTTTATAAGGAGGTGAACTGAAGCAGTGGTAAAAACTGTTATTTCATGACTGAAAGGTCATGGGTTCGAATCCAGGAAACAATTATGCAAAGGTAAGATTGCTAGTCAGATTTAACGGAGGGTGTAAATGGGCCAGGCTAGGCCGGACTTTGGCTTTCCTGGCCTAAATCTACGTGAAAAAATATTTGGACTATTGGCCTATTAAAGGCTTTGTTTATAGGCCAGGCCTGACCTATTTTTAAAATTAGAAAGCCTAATATGGCCTACAGACGACCTTGTAGGCCTCCCACTGCATATACTGAGCAAAGAAAATAATTGTATAGAGCAAAGAAAGTTCCATTCATGCATGCACTAATACTTCTCGTAAGAAATAAAAAATGACAAACAAGAGTCAACATAATACCCTAACTCTATAATGTATATCAGAGGAGAATTTGAGTCAAAGAAATGGGGAAAATAAGAAAGAAATACAATTACTTGGTCAACTAAAGACAAAACTTAGAGACGAGAGTGAGAAGTCACTTAGAAGCGACGGTGCACAAAAGAAATTAGGGTTGGTACTTTATCACCTAGAATAAATATATTATTTTATTTTATTTAAAAAAATTAAATATGCCAGCCTACAAGACTTTAGTCCAGACTTGACAAGTCTGGCCTATGGCCTATTTGTTAAAAGAGATTTTTTGTAAGTCTAAGTCTACTCTACTTCTCAGAAAAACCAGGCTAGACCAGGTTCAACATAGGCCGGACTGTAGACCAAGCCAGGCTAGCCTGGTCCATTTACACCCCTGCAACATCATCACTAATAAATTGCAGTTGCTTTTTTATGTTGGTAATGGTAAAGATGAATGTTTAGCTAGGTTGCCTCCTAATGTCTAATTCTAAACCTTGTACTGTCTTCTCTAGCAATTGGCAGTGGCACTGAACTTATGGACCTACTATATATCCCCAATCACGGATATTCTAAAATATTTGTCTACACACAAGCTTAGTTGGAAAGCTCGCTTTAAAACTTGAACCATTTCCATTTGTTATTAGTCATCATCAGGAAGCCCTCATGTTACTATATTCCATTTTAAAGCAACCTAGCTAAACATTCATCTTTACCATTACCAACATAAAAAAAGCAAATAAAAGCAAGCAGAAATTCAAAAGCTATAAATATGACCAGTACTATAAATATAAACAAAACAAAAAAAAGGGAAGGAAAACCCATAAACAATTCAACCAGATTCCTCTACCCTGCATCTGAATAAAGCTATTCCCACACATCAATAAAACCAGGCAAAGTTTCACTTCATTGCACTACCCCCCATCACTTAAGTCTTTGATATAACTTCTATTGTATCCCATTTACAACCATGTCAACATTGCTACATGTACCGTATCTCATTTTCTCAGCATATTTGTTGATTCAATTAAGTTCAAGCCATGCATACCCATGTCGTTCATATTGTGGTAACATAACCATAGATTACCCGTTTGCACTCGAATACGGGTGCGGGCACCCGGGTTTCCGTGACCTTCTCTTCTGCATGAATGATGTTCTCATGTTACGCATAAGCTCTGGATCCTATAGGGTGCTAGAAATAGACTATGCATTTCAAGCACTCACACTTCACGAGCCACACATGTCAACATGTGACACAATCGTCCTCGGAAGCCGCGGCAACGGTTTCGCGGTGGAGCCGTGGCGGGCCCCATACATGAACCCGGCGGCGGACAACGTGTTCATGCTCTTAGGTTGTTCGGTTGAGTCACCATTGTTCCAAGGTTTCCCAGGAAAGAACTTGCCATGTCGAAACGTTTCGGGCATGGGATGCGAAGAGTATTACGGGTGCCCGGCTTGGGCTGAAGTGTTGGGCCATAAAAGGGTGGGCTCGTCGTTTTTTGGGTCAGGCCCACCAGAATGTTGTGCTTTGCCTTATGAGGCTATTAAGTCCATTAACCTTTCAAAGCTTGAGTGTCAAGGGTATAGCAGTGCTTATAGTTTGGCACCTCTGAAGGTTGATGGGCCAAGTGCGTGGTCTTATGGGATCCGTGTGAGCTATTCGGTGCAAGGGAATGACGAGTTCTGTGGAGCGTGTGAGGCAACGGGTGGCACGTGTGGATTTGGTTCGGATGGCATTAGACAGGTTTGCATGTGTGGGAACTCCAATTCAACGTTGAATTGTGATTCAGGTTTGTAACTTTAATCAAGGTTTGGCAATGAGTTTTTCTAAAGTGATTTTTTTTTTTGTTAATTTGTAAAGTTAAGTGACGGTGGGTCGTTAGAGGAGAAATTTTTTCGCGAGGATATGATAAGAAAATAAATTTTCAAGGAATATTTCCAACAAGTTATTTGATAAGCCAAAATGTTCCTTGGAATATTAAGTTAATTTTTCTAATACCATGTTTGGTTATTTTTGTTTAAAAAATTAATCCATATTTTTTCAATTCTTGAAATACCACCATTTGGATTGTATTTTTCAGTAGTATTTTGGTTTAAAAAATACATACAAAATAGAATATCGGGAAAATAACTTTCTCGAGTTTTCTAATCTGCTACCAAAAGTGAGATTCTAAGAAATCCATCCTCACTTTTTCAGACATCTTCAAATAATCCTCTTACCAAACACTCCATAAAGAGTGACTCTGAAATTGTGGTAAAATAGTTTTTTTGTGATTGAAAGATCATGTGTTTGAGCCCTCATCCCTACTCTCTTTATTTTATTTTATTTTTCTGTAAATTTAAGTGACTGTGTGTGCAAATTTACAGCTACTTTGTCGTCAGGAACAAGGCCTATGGTGGTGAAAATGTTTGCAGGTACTTACTTGGTTATTTCATTGATTGATTGGTTGAGTAGTACTTGTCAGGTTAAACCAAATTAATGGATGACCTATTTAACCTTGGAAGAATGATGTATGTTACAAATCCCGGACCCAAAAAAATTTGGTGGCATTGAGACGAGAGAAAATGAAAAAAAGTTGAGGAGAGAGAAGAGAAAAAAAAAATTAATACAAGTGTTAATTTTTGAGTGAAAAAATCACGGTGATCCTCGAACACATTAAAAAATTGCATGTTACTGTCTCTTTAGTACTATTCTGTATCAAATTTTAGAAAATCTAGCATTTTGGGGATTGAGCTGTAATTTGCTAATTTTGTTTTCTGCAATTTTTTGGCAGGATTATTGATGTATATGCTAGCTTGGATGACAACTAATTAGATTTGCATAATATGGTAGTATTACATGTGAGACTATCAACGCAAACTGGGTCAGTGGATCATGTATCCCAAGTTGCACATGCCATATGTTTGCTGAAGAACGTGAACATAGTCATACAATACGAGCGCGTTAGTGAGTTTTGATTGGCATTTCCTATTCCATGTCTAAGACCATGAAAACCATGCTCAGATATTATATTCATTATATAAGACCTTGAAAATCGTACTCAATTATTATTCCGAAGTTTTGTAAGACCATGAAAACCTTGCTCAAAAGTGAACGCTTGCGCATGAATGTTATCCTTATTTATTGTTTTACAATAGGTGTCTTCATCGTCATGTTCCTTACTTTCTAAGCAAACATCACAGAGAACAAAACTATATTCAAATTGCATTTGTGTCAGACCATGAAAACCATACTCAAATATTATTCTGTAGTTTTTGTATTGTCCAACATTCCCTGTGTACGACGTCGAAAATATGCTTAAGGACATGTTTGGTGCATAGTATAAGATAAGGCTTGATAGTATAAGACCTGATAGTATAAGGCCTGATTGTATAAGACCTGATTGAATTTTAATACTATCCAGCATTTGGCACGGTATTGAATAAAAATAATATATTGTATAAGATGATATCATCTAGTATTTGATAATGCACTGTATAATACTATATAGGATAAAAAAAATATCCTTTAATAAATAATTTATATAATTCTTCAAAAAATGTCATATGATATTAATTTTTATAAAAATTTATTGATCAGTGTGTCAAAAACATAAATCAATTTTTATAAAAATAAAAATATTCAGTATTTTAAAAATTAATATATTGAAAAATTAATTTTTATTTTAATATATTAATATTAAAATAATATATTAATTTTTGAGAATTACACTGGTCACTGGTCAACAATGTTAATACACCAACCTCTTATCAGGCCTTATCCCTCTCCCTTAGGTTGGATTAAGTTATACATTGTTTTGATGTATTAAGGGATCCTGCTGTATAAGCTTATACTATACGATGGTCACACCAAACAACTGAAAATGTCATAACGTATAGTATAAGCTTATACTATCAGGCCTTATACATCACACCAAACAGGCCCTAAGTATTCATATGGGAAGCTTGCGACTTGCGTCGCATGGGAGTAATCTCCAAAATATCTCTGTCTTCATCCTCATATTCCATGCATATGTCACGACTTAAGCTCGGGTTTTGCAACAAATTAAATATCTAATTCAACTAGGCAAGCTTGAAATTATAGTTCAAAATTTAACCAAATATTTATTACGGACCCAAAAGTCTTTACAGGCACAAAATAGATATATCAAATTGATCACTTTAAATAGAATGCTATAGTTATATATATATATATATATATATATATAAGAAGGAAGTGAGTCGTGGTGAACTCAAATTTGTGTTGGGGCAAATTTTATATACATTTTAAATTGTCATAGTCATCCTAACACAGAAAGCCCAAAAACATCCGTCAGGTTTATTATATTATTTAGATAGAAGGCTTTTCTCGTTAATGTGAAACAGGGATGGCAATGAGGTTTGGTTTAACACTTTAACTAGTAGATGACTAAACAAGGGTCTTGGATTCATTATCCTTCATCGATACTGGAAATATGTATTATCCTTAGGCCTTATTTCTTTAACTTATTATTGTTCTTTCAAAGTATATGACTATACCCTCTAAATATTGTGAATTTAAAACGCAAGTCCCATGATAAATAAAATAACTACCTCGTAATATAAATCTCTAGGTCATAAGACTTCACAAAAATTATTTAAAGATGAATTAGCAATGGATAAAAAAATCAGATAAAATCCATACTATAGGATTAAGGATTTTCAAGAAACTCATGATCAAAACTAAGATTTGGTCCCTTTACATCTACTTCAAAACCCAAATTCCTAAACTAAATTTCTATTAAAGCTTCAAATACACTCGTTCACAAGATATCAAAGCTTAAAAGAATCTATGGCCCTATGGTATTAAAAAAAAAAAACTAAACAATAATCAAATAGTAAAAACTCACCTCAAGCTCTAAAAACAAATGAGCGCAACTGTTCAATTAGTTTATGAGAACATAGGAGGGAAAGGGAAAGAAAAATGGCAGGGTTCAACCAATAGAACCCCCGTTGCTAGCTACAAGGAGCTTCAATCTCCTTCATTTATGCGTTCTCCAATTTTTTAAAGTGCTCTTATTTTTCTTTCAATGCCATAAAGGCCAAAATGTTAAAAAGAAATTTGATTCCATCAGTTAAAAGAAAATCTCGTGTTTCAGCATCTTTTCATCTTTCTAAGCATCGATCCCAGAGAACAAAACTATATTCAATTTGCATAGAGGGCTGGAACTGCTTTTCAAAAGCTCAACTAGGAAAATTTCTACAATACTCCCGTTTCACCCACTTTTTCATACATCCCTCCAATAAAAATCAAATACCAATGCTGATTGATGACATGGAAGAGAAAGAAATATAATCTTAAATACAGGTGTAAAAAGGTGAATGACAATAGTACATACTACTGATATATTAAAAATGAGCTCCCCAACTAGATCAAGGCAAGAGCTGTTTCAGAATTCATTATTAACCTCGCATCTTGTTCATGAAAATCTAATATCACATCTCGAAGTTCATTAAAAAAAATAAATAGAGATTCCATTTCCTATGCCACACTTTTTCTTAACAAAAACAACCTACTAACTTTCTTTCCTATTCTAAAACCTTTTTGCACAGTACAGAATTACAGATGGATAAATAGTTTTAACTGATTAAATTACATTACTTTTGTACATCTCTTCAGCAATGTACAGTTTGAGCCCTTCCTGGCTACTCCCCGTTTAAATCCAGTAATCAAGTTTACAAAACTCAAACCTGAATCACATAAAATGACTCAGGCATGTTCCATTGCCGCATCATCTTTTATTTTCTGCAATAACAAAGGAAGCAAAAGAAAATTAGCAACACGTGATTGCAATGAAAGTGGTAGATGCAGGATCCATTTTAACTCACATGTGAGATATCCTTCCACAAGTTGAGAGTCTTGAGAGCCTTTCCAGATTGTTGTGTTTCACGCGCCAAAGACACCCCTTCAGCTAGGTTCCTTACATGGCCACTGACCATGAGAGCTGCTGCCGCATTTAAAACCTAGACAATTTTTGGGTACATAATAATCAAAATTTATATTAAGAGACAAGTGCATTCAAAGAGAATGAGACAAGTATCAAAATATTATGCAGGACATATGAATTACAGTATTTAACTGAGAAAAATTGAAACACAAAGAACAATAGAGAATGTGCCTCTAATTGGATTTCAGTAAAATAGCACTTTATAGCAGCAAGAAAATTTACTTTAGGGGGGACGCAAAAGTATAGACACAAACCACTGCTGCTCGTATTTCATCAACAGGACAACTTTCATCTGGTTAAGAAGCAAAATGTTCTATGCTGGAAGAAAATATTAAAAGGAAAAAGGCATCACGATGGGTTTTTGACATAATTCATGGTATATTTCCTTTCTTCAAAACCAAGTAGAGGCACAAGATTCATCTCCTTAGTAATCAAATTCAGAGCCATGACGAAATAAGGAGGTTAGAATCAAAATAATTTGCACAGAATTTGAAGGTAACGGGGTCAAACTAAGATAGAAGGGAAAAAATTCCATCTCAACCAAAATTTCATAGACTTCAAGCTAAAGTTGCATTGAAAGAATCATTATATTTTTCATTCCAAGGCCACCACCTTCCCATCACTTAAGACGAGGTTATCATCCTCTCAGCTACTTAAAAGATCAGAAAAACCAGAAGATACTCACAAAAGAATCGGCAATGGGCCCACTCTCTCCACCTAGAACACGCTTCAGAACCCCTGCATTGTATTCTGGGTCACCACCTTTTAAGCTTTCAAGATTACACCGAGGAATGCCGAACTCCACTGTTCCAATAAACAATCTGATGTGAATAGTGCATTCAAGCATGCATATCCAATAAAAGATCCATTGTCGCACTCAATTAGTAGCATGTGAGCTCGATCAATTTGCTTCATGACGGAAACAGATAAAAACCATATATTATCAAATACTTACAGGGATCGAATGAGAACTTATCAATCCTTTCTGGAGTAACATCAAGCACTATACCTGGTCCTGCATGTAACGTAAACAAGAAGTCAGAAAATGCCACTCAAATCAAATTCAGATACCTATATCTTTCAAATAAACAATTTTCAGGTGCAAAACAAGCAAGGGATCTTACCAAGAGGACTTATCTCATCCAAACCTTCAGAGTGGACAACTAAAGCTCTTTTCATGCCAAATCTTTTAAGTGCTTTAGCCATTTTGAAGACCTATCCCAAAGGTCAAGACAAATAGCTCATTAGGAATGGCATAGATAGAGAAAAACAGCAAGAATTAGATCCTCAATCCTTCAGGGTCTGTCCTTTTTTTTTTTTTGAGGGGGAGGGGGTATACAAAGAAAATAAGATGCCAAATTTAAGTTGTAAAATAATAAAACATGTCAAATTCAGTTTGTTGCTACAATTTCTTCAACAAAAACATGGATGACTCTAGGCAATTTAAAAGTTTTCATTTGAGTGGTAACAATAAAAAACAATCAATATGGATGAATTATTCAATTAATTGATTACAGAGTACCTACTCATACATATGCATATAACCTACATTTCTTTTGAAGGTTACAAATACAGAGATTGTGAAGGAAAAAAAAATCAGTAGTCAGAACCTTAAAACCAGAGTCAGTTGCCCCCACAAACCAATGTTTATGGAATAAAGAAGAAAAAATGACAAAAATAGCTTGAGCCAAGAGAAAAGGGTTGAACTTGTTTACAAAGTTTCAATGTAAACCAATTACTTCAAAATCCGAGCTGCTTTCAAAACTATCAATCTTCAAGCTGCAAATTTTATGAGCAAATAGAATTCTTATATTTTCTCCTTTGTTGATTAGGTATTCTACCCTTAACTAAAAAATTTCGCTTTCAAAATACTTACAAAGATTACAATGCATGTAAATGATCTAGAATGATATCAAAATCATTTTCAGTAAGATTATTTGAATTAATTACCAATCAATTCTCTATGACGGAACTTACCAAGTCTTCTGTGTATACTCCAACAACTGCAAAAGGTGCCTGAGCTGGATTTAACATGGGACCCAATATATTGAATACAGTTTTTATTTTTAGCTTCTTTCTTACAGGCCTGACAATCTTCATTGCTGGGTGATACTTTGGAGACATCATAAACCCAATTCCTGCTTCATTCACACACTTTTTTACCCCCTGATTGGCAGAAAAACAAATTACTGAATGCATCGATCAATAAAAATTTCTGTTTGATAAATTCTGTCAACTAAACAGACAACATACACATACAAGCTTAAAATAGTTAATAAATGTAAAAATACATACAAATAAGCATTATTTATATAAAAGCGCAAGTAGTCTCCTTTTCATATATTATTTTCTTCAATTAACCGGAAATACACTGCAGCATTAGACAAACATAATGAATCGTTAAAGAGGGCTAGTACGAACTGATAACCACATCCACAACCCAAGAAAAATAACAGAGAGATTTGCATTCTTAACGTAATTTTCACTAACCTGAGGGCCTAAGTCAATAACCACTCCCAAAGCTTCTAACACATCAGCACTTCCACACGCAGAAGAACTAGAACGGTTTCCTTGCTGAAACAAGGAAACAATCAAATCACACACCAAAACCAAAACCATTTCAATCTTATCACTAGCTAGAAATCATATTACACACTTGTAGCACCCAAATCAATCAATATATTAGCAAGTAAACCCTCAAGTTAGTTCCTAATTGCAAACATACACACAAACCTTTGCAACTTTGGCACCGCAAGCCGCAGCAAGTATTGAAGCCCCCGTTGAAATGTTAACTGTGTTAGCACCATCCCCTCCGGTTCCAACAATGTCAACCACATCAACCAAACCATCAACCTTCGTAGCATGATTTATCATAGCCCTCGCAAACCCCACAACCTATAAAAAAAAAAAAAAAAAAAAAAAAAAAAAAAAAAACCAAACATTTTAATCATCAACAACATCAATTTCACAACTTAAACTTTGTTTTTTTTACTTTATGCATCAAAACGCGAATAAGCTGAAGCAGGAAAGTTACTTCTTCAAAAGTCTCCCCTTTGGCTCTTAAAAGCACAAGAACAGCGCTTATCAATGTCTCATTGGCTTCGTTCAGTAACAAGTCAAGAGAAGCTTCGGCTTCGGCTTCCGATAAATCAACACCGTTAATCAACGTTTCAATCAGCTATATCCAAACCGTTAGATTTCAATCAAGCAATAAAATAGGCGAAGAGTGAATAAAGTAATGAGAATAACTAAAAAAAAAAAGAGTAAAAAAATCAGAAAGTAACCTTGCTAACAGACTCAATGGACGTGCCTTCATTTGGAGAAACGGCGACGTTTGCAGCAGCAATAGCGGTGCTCCTCTGCGTTAGAGGAGAAATGGGAACCGAAAACGAATCGTTTCGGAGGTTGAGGTTCGGAGAGAAAACGCGGTGAACGAAGGAAGGGGAAGAGACTATAGAGAACAGAGTTTGTGCCATGGCTTAACTTTGGGTCAACGCTCTTACGGCGATGCTAGTAGTACCAATGGGTGACGGTGAGTGGCTGAGACTTCAAAGGGGTCATATTTCAGAATGATTCAGAATCGTTCATGTGATTGGTAACATGCTTTTATCTTAGCGCACCGTCAACAAAAACAAACAAATAATCAATATATTATTTAATCCAATGAATATCTTTAATAAGGTTTTATATCATGTCATTAGATCTTGTGCCATAGGAATAATAAGTGTGGGGTCTACTATTTCCTTTTTTATATAAAAAACAAAAATCATAGTTTTCGAAGGGTTCCATGATATCGACTTTCCATTATAAAAACATTGATATCGACACGAGAAGATATTCTGACATATTAATTTTAAAAAATGTTAAATTTTGATATTTTATGATATATTTTGATATTAAATAAAAATTTTAATTTATGTAATGTATATTACATTTAATATTTAATAATTTAATAAAAAAATGAAGCTAAACTTATAATGCCCATTAATTTTGTAAAAAAAACATAAAATATCTCAAATATTTATATTAAACTCAATAAAATGATAATCATATCTAACGAATCTAATAGTTTGAACTAAAAACGAACCCAACACAATCTTTAAACTCTTTTTAAGTCTCTACACTATGTTGAAGTATCGGAGATGTCAGAAAATATCAGACACGACATATCATTGTTATTGTTATTATTATTATCGCCGAGAAGTAATGTAAGCTTGTGGTGTCCTTATTAATATTAGTTATTTTAAGTATGTAAGTAATTATTTTTAAATTTAAGTTAAATTGTATTTAATTTTAAATCATTTTTTTTTTTGGTATGGAATTCAAATCACTTTTTTTTTTTTGGTATGGAATTTAAATCACTTTAAGTTTAGGAAACAGCTAAAGCGGAATTAGTTGGTAAGGTGAAGAACACTAAAACGTGTTCCTCGTTGTCATAAATTGTTTCGACAGGCTCATAGCGTTACTTATGTTATGACCGTGACTCAGAAACGCTCCCTTGCTTTTCCGTGTTGTGTTTTCTATATTTATTACACTTGGATCTGTATTAACTCAGAGGGTCTGCATCCCTTACTAAACTAAATTTGAATATTCAATATAAAATAAACTTTCCTGAATTTGAATTTCTCTGTATAAATAAATAACTATGTATTTATCTTTAATTTAAACATAAAGAAGAAATTAAAAAACGAGTATCCTACTTCTAGTGAAAGCCAGCGCATTAAAACTCTCGAGCTGTATGCCTGTTAGATTGTTTTATTTTTATTTTATTTTTATTAGACTGTTTTATTTTTTATTTGTTGGCTTATAAAATGAAAAAATAAAGAAAAAAAAGTAAATGTTTGAATATTTAGGATGTGCATGACAATTATCTGAAAATCAATTTTTTTTAATTCACGGATAGAAATAGCATTTGATAAAATTGATTTATTTTTTGAGAAAAATGTGTGTCCTTCTAAAGGACACAAACTTAGGTTATTTTAAGAAAAAAATAGACACAAAGAGGTAAGACCTGTACTTTATTTTTTTAGTGGGATCCACGCCTCTTTGTGTCTATCTCTCTCATAAAAGAACTTAAGTTTGTGTCCTTTAAAAGATATACACTTTTTCTTTATTTTTTGTTCTTGAGATGAATCAATTTAATTTTTGTTATTGAAAATAATAAAAAAAAAAAAATTTTACTTCTCTGTTCTGAGGCACAAAAAGAAAATCATTTTTCTTTATGACCACCGAGTCACCATCACCGCCAAACCCCTTTTTATAAACCTTTGACCCCACATCTCCTCCCAATTCTACACCTTCAACCCTGACTCCCACTCCCTTATGATCCTCTGCCTCCTCGAGCACCGCCTCACCACCATTGCCGAGATTCGCGCTGCCATGCCGCCAAGCATCCTTGACTTGTGGCGCCACGTGAGGAAGGACCACAGCGAGGAAACCGTGTACCTCACGGCATGGAAGCGCTTCCATGACAAGATTGTTGTGCATTGTTATGAGTTTTCATAATATTTTAAGAAACGTAATTCTAATCCTTACAATTCTTTCAAGGCCCACAATCAGAAAAAACTGTTTGATCTTATAAACAAGGTTGGAAAATAGAATAGTTGTTATGCACACGTTTATTAACATTTTCAAACAAAAAAGCAAACTATAAATTTTGGAACAATGATCAAAGTGCCACTATTCCCAAAATTATTTGTCAATGTCACGCGAACATTAAAAATTTCCAAAATGCCACGCGTACAAGTTCGCTACAGCAGATAACAAACTTTGATTGCTAATGTGGCAACGACGTGTACAAGTTTACTACAGTAAATAGCAAACTAAGTGGTCAAAATATCAATCTAGTCTGAGCGTGTTCAGGACACGTGACATGCTAGGAGAAGTTCGTTATCCATCATAACCAACTACTTTCTAAAATAATGATTTTGCTACTGTACACTATTTGCCTACTTAACTTTTATGCTGAATACCTTGGCTTTTAAGCTGACATTCTTGCTACTGTACACTGGTTTTATGGTGACTTTCCTTATTCTTCAATGACCCAAACCCAACAAATCCAAAAACGAAAAGAAAACAACTTTTTCAATCTGTAAAGAACCTTGGGATACACCATCCCAAAAGTTAGCTCAAAAGGTGAGAGTGCCCAAGACCTTATAAACTCCACATTAGTTGCTGTTATGAATATTTTCTAAATCATGTAATACTTTAATTGTCACTGTGGGCCAACGATTGAAAATAAATAACAAGGCCCAATTTGCTATTGCATTCAGTTTTGGCTTTATTTGCTAACTGAGACGCTGCGTTTTGCTTTGCTGAGTAATATAACAAATATCCTTGTGCTTGGAAATCTGAACGTGGCATATTCCAAAACAAAATCAGATTTGGATTTTTTGTTTTCGTTGAAGTTCTCTGCAGAAAGAAAATCTTAGGGTTTCTTTGAGAGCTTGAGAGGCATATTTGAGAGTGTTAAACTGAGAATCTCATATCGGTGATGTTGAGAGAAATGTTCCTCTTGTCAAGACGCTCAGATTGATCGGTGCAGTTTTGAAGGAATCATCCAACAGTGAAGAAGATGGACCATGGTGGCGTTCCTAGTTGGTAAAGACGGGTTCGCATACTTTGGGAGCTGAAGGCACCTGGTTCTTGGTGTTTGCTATTTGATTTGGTGACATCTTTCTTTTATTTGTTTTACTGTTGCTGATTATATTGGCCGATCATATATGCGTTGTAATCTTGGTTATTCTTTCTCTGTTATATGCCTTGTATATACTGTATTGGTAGAGTTACATGTTTAGGATCTTGAACTCTTTGTACCTGTTATCTGTTGTTGAATAAGAGTGCATGCTAGAGGGCGTTTGACCCTCACTGGCCAACTTGGATGTAGGAAATTCTCTTACAAAGAATTTATGAACCAAGTATAAATTCTGGTGTTGTTTCTTATATTTTCTGTTTCTGTAAGTTCGGTTAGTGGGCTGATTCTTGGTAGATCTATACCAAGAATTGTAACAAGTGGTATCAAGAGCTTTGGTTCTTGGTTCCTTTTTTCTTCTGGTCAGTCTCTGTTTCTGTTTCGTGTTTTTTGTCTTTTTCCCTCTGGTCCTCGTGCTTTCTGCTGCTGGAAGCTGAAGAGGATGGGTATCACAAAGGTTGAGGTGGAGAAGTTTGATGGGAGGGGTGACTTTAACATGTGGAAGATCAAGATGATGGTTGTCTTGGTCCAACAGAAGTGTGAGGATGTTGTTGGTCCTGAAAAGAATCTTCTTAATTCCCTGACACCTAAGGAACTAAAAGATTTAATGGCTTTAGCTCATAGTTTAATTGTTGTAAATCTGTCTGATAGTGTCCTTAGGCGTGTATGTAAGATAACTAATCCTAGAGAGCTTTGGGAAAAGCTTAAGGCTCTCTATCAAACTAAATCCGCCCCAAACAAGATGTTTTTGAAGGAGAAATTTCTTTCCTTCAAGATGGATCATTCTAAGTGCTTGGAGGACAATCTTGATGAGTTTAACAAACTCACCTTAGATCTGGATAATGCTGGGGCAACTGTCTCAAATGAGGATCAAATTTTGATCCTCTTGAATTCTGTTCCAGACTCTTATAGGGGTGTAAAAGATGCTATAAAATACAGCAAAAAAGGAATGGATTTAGATGAGATAACTGAAGTTTTGAGAGCAAGGGAGGTTGAAATACTCTCCCATAAAAAGTCCCATGCTGAGGGGCTGGTTGTGAAGGGTAAAGGGAACAAGAAGGGAAAATTTAAAAATAAATGGAAGGGAAACAATAATGTAACCCAACCTAACCAGAACACACAAGGTAATAAAAATAAGGAGCAGCCAAAAGGTAAACTTACCTGCTGGTTGTGTCATAAAGAGGGACATATCAAGAAGAATTGCCCTGAAAATAATAAGGGAGCTGCAAAGGCAGCAACTAAAACTGAGTATGCAAATTTACTTAGTGGGTGTGAGGGTGCTGAAGTCCTTATGGTGTCTAATAAGGGCTTTGAGGCTGAATGTGTTATGGATTCAGGTTGCACTTTTCACATGACTCCTAAGAAGGAGTGGCTTGTTGGTTTAAGGTTCCAAAAGGGTGGAAAGGTCCTTATGGGGAATGACCAGGTCTGTCAAATATAAGGGATTGGGGCTGTCAAGTTTCTAATGGCTGATGGCAGCCATAAAATCCTCAAAGAAGTGAGGTATGTCCCTGACTTGAGGAGAAATTAATTTCTCTAGGTATGCTTGACTCAAGTGGGCTGTAATTCAAGAGTGAGCAAGGTTCACTCACTGTTCTTAAGGGTAGTGAAATTTTAATGGAAGGAAGGTTGATTAATGGCCTGTACATATTACAGGGCCATGCTATTTCATCCGAAAGCTGTATAACAGCAGCCAAGGATGATGAATCTGTTCTCTGGCATAACAGAATGGGTCATATTAGCAACCAGGGTCTGTCTGAGTTATGTAAACAAGGTATTATAAGTTCTAAGAAAGTAACTTGTGTTGATTTTTGTGAAAATTGTATTTTAGGAAAAACACACAAGTTACCCT